AAGCCTTGCTGCGCGATGCAAGTGGTTCAGGGAGGGATGTGTGGTCATCCCAACCCGAAAAAATATTCCCGATCAAATCTACACCGGGAACAAATCACAGTAAGTTTGCCGTGTGACCACACCCTGAGTCCTCACGAGTGGGGAAACTTGTCTTCCAAGTGTGCGGGGCCCCCGTTCAGATCAGTACCATGGAGCTGGGGGAAAGGGGGCTTCAGCCTTCCCCCTATGTGATTTTCCCAACCTAAAATCACCCCGGGGGGTGTTATTTGCCCCACTGGAGGGCTGCGTATGTTAGCCTATCAGTACATGAACCATCTTTTCATAAAGAGTCAAAATGCAGCAGGAGGGGAGGAGTCCAGATCTGTCACTGGGCTTTAAGGACATCACAGCCATCTAGTTTAGCATCTGACTTTCCAGCACCTAGGGAATGGGTGTGGGCAAAGTGAGATGGAATCAGAGACATCATTAAGTTAATGCTTTATTGGGAAGTTCTGTTCTGTAAAAAAGACAAGGATAATTCATCTGTCTTATGATCCCCCAGGTGGCAGTGCTTCCACTGGAAACAACATAAAGTTTTAGCTGGATTCAGTCCCCTGAAACATCTGTTTTCAGCCAGGCTCACCCCTGACATAAGGACAGGGATTTTAAAAAGAATGTGCACTAGAGCATACGAGGAGTGTCTTTCAGCAGAACTAGACAAAGACAAGCTTTGCTCATTTAGGATCTGAGAAGCAGTTTTGAGAACAAAAGGTACAATTTTCAGGAAGGCCTGAAACACTGTTTCCTCCCTTGTTGGGAATATAATCACTACGAAATAAGGTATCATGTTTTTCAGGGATAAACACAGAGAAAGAAGACTGGTTTATGAGCTAGGAGCAGAGTCAGTCCTGGTCACTGGCAGAGCCAGAGGATTCCCTGATTGATTCATGGTGATTTTCAGCCTGTGGCTGTGCAACAAGGTTAGTGGGAAAAGTTAGTGAAATGATATTCTGACTTCAGGATGGAGCAACTCAGGCCTTTCAAGATGATTTATAAACTGGATTTTCCCTTAACGTGACACTCATGTTAGTCACAATCCAGTGTCATCATCAACATGGTATCCCTTCTCATAATATGTGTGTGTGTGTGTTTAGTCTTGCTGCAAAGCAGTTAGATGTACTAGGACAGAGGGACACTCTGAAGAAGGTAAATACATACACTTCAGAGAACAAAACCTCTGTAAGAAGGTCCCACCGCTCTGCCAGTGAGTTTGCCTGCTTCCTCTTCCTCTGTTGTTTTGTTTGGATAGGTGGGAGAAATGCCATCTGGAGTCAGGGAGGAAAAGGTTATAGACCTGCATTTGGGAAATCTGCAACCTTTTCTCTGAGTGACAACTCCACCCATGTTCCTTCCTCTTAGAGGCTGCATTATGGAAATACAATTATTTCCCTGTTGTAGGGGGGAAATCAGTGCCTTTTAATTTCAGTAGTTATTACACCGGTTCTTATGCTTTGTACAGAGGCTGCCTCACACTGAGGAAAAAGGACTAGGGTGCCAAAGATGCAACAGGTCACAAATGAATGTGGCCATACTGGCCAGAGCAAGAGTCTGCACAGCTAATAACTAGATAGACAAGTATTACTGTCACAGGACTGGGGAAAGCAAGGACACTTTGTTCAGGATTTGGGGGAGTGAGTGGGCTTCTTGCTAACTTGGCCACAAGAATGAGCGGCTAAATAAATTGTACTGAAGAGAAGTGGCTGAAGGGTGGGACAGAGGATGGGGAAGTAAAGGGTGTGGAACAATGCAGCAGACAGAGAAGGGTGCCAAGGGACGGATAGGATGGAAGTGGTGGATCATCCAAGGAAGGAAAAGTGGACAAAACAGGCTGGGGAAGGAAGCTGGAGCTAGAACTCATCTACCTATGAAGCCATAGCCGTTTTGATGGTCACATGCCCACTATTTTGTGGGCAGCTTTCTACAGCATTCACAAAATGACAGAGGTTGCTCTGTGTGTCTGGAAAGAGCTGTTCTGATTATTTATTTATTTGTCTTCCTTTCTCACTTGGACTCAAGGCAAATTATGCAGAGTGAGATAATAATAATAATAATAATAATAATAATAATAATAATAATAATAATAATAATAATAATAATAATAATAATAATAATAATAATAATAATAATAATAATAATCTGGCATTGTGTGTAGTATAGCTGGGAGATTCTAAGATTGTCTGGCAGCTTGAAGTTCTAGCTCTTTTACCGCTATGCACTACTAGTTGAGCACACTTCAGAGGACGGCGGAAGACCGGAAGGCCTGGCGGGAGCTGGTCCATGGGGTCGCGAAGAGTCGGACTCGACTGTGCGACTGAACAACAACAACAACTACTAGTTGCCCAGCTAGACTTATTTTTTGGGCTGAGAGAGCTCTGAAAGAGCTGTGACTGACCCAAGGTCGCCCAGAGTGAGTCAGTACAGTCAATGGATGAGACGGTTGGGAAACAATGTGATTAAGGATGTAGGACCAACCAGATGTCTAAAAACAGAGCTAAAGCAAAGCATGAGTATTAACATGACACATGAAATGAAGCAAAATTCCATTGTAGGATCCTAGTGTCAGCAAGCTGGTAGTACAGTAGTACAGACCACAGTCACAAATAATTTTACTAAGTAACTTTGCAAATAAGTTACACTGAATTACAGGGCAATTCAGGCCCTTAGACATGGTGGTGCAAAAGAGGGTGGTGCCCCATCAATCATTTGTCATACTCCTCCAATCAGCATTACAGGTTGGTGTGAAATTTGTCACACATCTTTCAGGTGTAAATTTTCTTTGGAAAAAAGGAAGGCGTTGAGATAAAAAGATGTGGATCCGGTAAGAAATCTTCCAAGGGTGAACTCTCTATGCAATTGGCTAGAACAGAATTAGCAGTTAGCAGGGCTGAAGAGTTTTGATTTTAAAAGCCTGCAGGGGTGTTGGGTGGCACTGTCAGAAGCCTTGAGTTAGTGATTTACAGAGAAAGGAAGGTTGAATTTACAGTTTCAGGTTTCAGTAACTGGAAGAAGGCTTTCACACTCCTTTAACTCTGCAAACTATGTAAAACAATTGCTTGGGAGGGCATTTTTATAAAGCTTAGACAGAATAGTGCTGTAGTCTATGCCACAGTGTATGCTATATATTATTGATTTGTTGTATGTTTTATCATTTTCTTACAGCACTGTTTTCATTTTTTGTAATTCCACTTTCTACATTGCTTGACATAGCAAGTTTGATACTTTTTTTGGCATGTATATAATTTTTGTACCCCTTGTCCTATTGCATTTTTATTAGATCTCTCATGCTGTGATTACAGTGTTCTATACCATGTAATTCACTTTGAGTCTCAAGTAGAAAATTGGTAAATAACTAATAAAGCATAAATAATAAATAATGGTGGGCTGACCACCGCTGTACTCATTCCCTCCCCCCAATAAAAATTTTCTGGCTATGGCCTGGGGCAACTCTTTCGCTGCCATGGGAACCTTCCTGACCTCTTCAGGCGGGCAGCTCCACAAGGTGAGGGCCACAGTGAAGAAGACACTTGCCCAGGCAGTTGTTTATTTTGCCCATTTGCAGGCTGGCCTTGCCAGAAGACCTTGTTCAGGTGAGTGAAGCTGTTCTGGTGGAGCATGAGGGGAGAGCACTGTCTTTTAATTTGCCCTTTCTAAATGGAAAGATTAGACACATAAAAGAATTGAAGAAAAAAAGTCAAGCAAATGGGAAGGCAAAATGGAAGTTATGTCATTCATTATTACTCTTCATATTCCTGAAGATGAACACACACACACACAAAACATTGTTATGAAGCTTTTGAAAGAAGCAGGGGCTCTGCCAGAATAAAAAGTAATAATTTTACAGTAAGAGGAATGCTAAGAATCTGCTCTGTTGTCAGCTCTGTTCTGTGGATCACAGTCCAGCTGGTACTCTGGGGGAGCAGAGACAGGGGAAAGGGAGGGGAAAGAATTGGAGAACGATCAGCTCGCGTGCCAAGACGAGCAAACTGGCGGGTAGTTTGCTGTGTCTGTGTGGTGGTGGTGGTTGTGGTTGTGGGGAGGTGTGCCAGTAAAATCGCAGAGCCGCTAAGCAAGAAAGATCAGTTCGTCGCTTCCCTCGTGCCGCGTACGACAGTGACTTGAGCCGAGAGAAACCAAGCAGCTTTTAGGACCCGGGAAGATCCCGGGCTCTTCTCGGCTCTTTCGCTTGAATCAATGAGCGGACGGGGAGGGGCTGGCGCTTCAGGCTCCCCATAAACCGGGCTGTTTAGGCAATATCCTGGGCAGATGTTTTACAACTTCTTGCCTTCGCCACGAAGTGGGCCGGGGGGTGGATTTCCCGGGCTTTGCAGTCGGCGTCGCGGCTGTCGTTCTACAAGGGAAAAACCAGGGGGGAGAGGAGGGAAAGCTAGAAAGACTTGAGGGTTGTTGTTGGGTTTTTTTAAGGCAAACTTATTGGCTCGGAAAAGGGACCCACCAAGTTAAAGCGAAGCGGAGAGAGGGTCGTGGTTGTGTGCCCTTGCCAAGGATTTGCCACCAGGGCCAACTAGAAAGGCAGGGCTCGGCGGTCCTGCCTCCCGAAGGGGGGGGGGGGCGGGGATGGGGCTGAACTTTGGCGCAACCTTCGACAGAAGTTCAAACGAAAAGATCCTCTTACTTTGCCAGAGCCTCGTACCTTTAGGCGGCAAATAGGGGCAGTGCAGCAGACTCCGGCTTCGTCTGTGGTATTAAAAGAGAGAGAGAGAGAGAGATTTCCGGGGGACAGATTTCCCCTTAGTGGGACCTTTCTAAAATTCAGGGCTTGGTATGAATAAGATCGCTAAGAGACTCCCCTTCTGTGGTTTTTAACTGAATCGGCTGGAAGAGCTCTCCTTTCCCCATTTGCTTTAACCTTCGGGGGGCACTTGTGGATTAACTCGGTTTTTTTGGTCCGTCAAAAGTTGTTTCGCCAAGCAGAACTCCCTGGGAAAAAGAGGCGCGCGAGATCTGCTGCTGCCGCCGCGGACGATGCCGGGTCAATAGGGGGCGCGTCTTAAATGCCTGCGGGCTCTGGTCCAGCATGGCGGTGTATGCCCTCACTGGCTTCTCCCTTGTCAGCCTCCTCAGCTTCGGCTACCTGTCCTGGGACTGGATGAAGCCCAGTTTGGTGGCCGATGTCTCTGCGGATTCCATGGGGAAGCCGGGCCCCCCAGCGCCCTCCAGGCCGCCTCACATCATCTTCATTCTGACGGACGACCAGGGTTACCATGACGTTGGGTACCACGGCTCAGATATCCAGACTCCGACGCTGGACAGACTGGCTGCCGAGGGGGTTAAACTGGAGAATTATTACATCCAGCCCATCTGCACGCCTTCCAGGAGCCAGCTGATTACGGGAAGGTAAGACCAAGGGTGGGCGACCCTGGCCGGCCCTGAGGGAAATGCAGCGGCTGGCTTCTCCTTTCCAGAACAGGACAGTGTTACAATGAGGAGGGCTCTCAGGGAAACCTCCCTCCCGCCTTTCTCATTTAAAAAACTGGAAAATGTGATGGGCTAGAGCCGAAACTGTAGGATAAGTGTTGCCATGATTATCAGTAACACAAACCAAGATTATATATTATTAATACATATGTCAATAATACAGACATGTGACTTAATTTTTTTAAATAAAACTTTGTTACCTCAGTAAAGTTTTTAAAAGGAGGGAAAGAACGTGTAATAGCTACCTTAAAAAAACAGAATTCCTTCACACGCACACAAAGGCAGCATGCTATTTAATAGTTCAGTTTTGTATTGTGGTTGCTAAAGTTAGATGTTGTTAGTGCAGTTTGTGCATGAATAGGAGTCTGAGCTGGGTAAAACCAATCAATGTGCGCACACACAAATATGTGATGAATATAAAAGAACTCTGCAGTGTTGGCAGACGGAGAATGTGATCCAAGGGACAGAGTATTAAAAGTAATTGTGGCTTCACCTTGCAGTTCAGCCATGAGTTCACTGGGTGCCCTTAAACTGTCACATCTTGGTTTGAGTTCTCAACTGGTCAAGTACAACTTTCCTGCTTCGCAAGGATGACTGATATGTGCATGTTAAAATTCTTTACCCATTAAGAGCAGCAGGCTTCCTTTCTGGTCCCATGTGGCTTTGTAAGCATGTTGGGGAAGGATTAGTGTCTGGGAGAGCCAGGCTTGAATCCCCACCCTGCCGTGGAAACATGCTGGGTGACCTTGGGCCAGCCAGTCACACACACTCAAACTGACCTACATCCCAGGGTGTCATCATACTTGGCCAGGCACAACAGGAGCAAGCTGAGCCTCAGCAGTGCTGCCAGTGTCTTGAGGGCTTGACTCACTCCCTTGGGTGAAGAACTGGCCCTGCACGTAGAGCAAAATGTGTCTGGCCTGCTGTTGTTCAGTACACATCTGGGGGGCTGCCTGTCTCTGCTGTCAAAATGTATGGTTAGGGACAGCAGCACATTGGAAGAGGTTCAAAGGGGTCATTGGTGCTGAGCTAACAGAAAAGGAAGAGGGGTTGTGTACAAGCCTACTTCACATGCCCCTTCTCATCATTTAATTAGGCCCCAATCCACTCATGGCTGTTTTCTCTTTCTAAGCAGGAACCCCACTTTTCTAAAGTACTTGGAGAAAGGGTGCTGCTATCTATTATCACAATAGATACTGGTCTAGATAGAACTCTTGAAAGGACGGTGTGTTACCATTCATCAGTTGCCTGCAAAACACAATTGGAGACAGTTGTACCCTAAGGACAAACTTATAAGAGAAAATGCTGGTGGCAAATCTGTCCAAATTGTTTCATAAGTGTGTGTTTAGGACCGTCTCTTACCATGTTTGCCGTATGAGCACAGAACCGAAGCATGCTGAAGTAGTGGGCATGTTGGTTGGTTCTTCTGCTTGCCCAAGGGGGAGAAAAGCCACTTTTTGACCCCTGAAAAGGCTATGAAAGGGATTACAGTATTCATGTGGACAAAACCCCACAGGACAGGAGAGAGTAATGAGGAGGAAATTAGACAAGGTTGCCCATCCTTCTTCTTGCACTAATGGAAAAGTTTAGAATTGCAGCCACACCTTTTTGGTTGTGAAGTAATGGTACTCCACTATAGGTGGAACAGAAGGGGGGGGGGTTTAGGTCTGAATTCCAAACTCCCAAACACTCTGTGTGTGAGAACATCTACTTATGTATACAACTACGATTTTTCTTTCAGTGTTATCATATTGAATGGCAGATCTGAATCTGCCAGAGAATAACAGGCAACCAATATTATCCTGACATGGGGTGTAGGCTATACATTAAGATGGGGCTCTACATTCCTTACACAAATAGCATAAAAATAGTACTTTGTTTTGGACATCTGGATAGAGACACCATCTGAGTATTCTTCAGTGTTCCACACCTGCTTCTAAAGTGACCTGTTAGGATATTTTGTGGTGAAAAGGCCGTCTGTTTTAGATAGCTAGTAAAATAATTAAAAGTATGTAATGGGTGTCACCCTTGTGTACAATATACATTGCTGCGTGACAAACAGTTAATGGAATGGGGTGGGGTAAAAAGACTATAACTGTATATTTTTGACTTTGCTGAAAACTGGGAAACGGTTTGTATCTGTTCAAACAGAAGCCACTTGTTGATGGTTGCTCTACAGTGAATCTGTTTGACTGTGGTACCAATGCTCCCCCCACCCACCCCCATGTTCTGGCAGCCACAGTCCAGTTTGCAGTAGTCATTAACAGGCACATGCTTCTGATTCTCTCACCCTTTCTAGCAGTGTTTTTCACTGGTTCACTCTACTGCCAGCAGGCACTGAGACTGTAAGGGTGCCATCTCACCTAAGCATTTCAGCAGGCTGTTATTGATCCCCCTCCCCCCATCTACTACCCTGAAAATATATCCCATTACATCATTAAAAACCCTTACACAATGTAGATACAGGTGGGCAGCCATGTTGATCTGAAGCAGCAGAACAAAGTTTGAGTCCAGTGACACCTTTAAGGCCAACAAAGCTTTATTCAAGGTATGAGCTTTCATGTGCACGCACACTTCTTCGGGTTCTTTGCACTCCCAGTTTTCATTTTTTAAAAAGTAAGTCTCCAGTTTTATTCAAGGTATGAGCTTTTGTGTACATGCACATGAAAGCTCACACCTTGAATAAAACTTTGTTGGTCTTAAAGGTGCCACTGGGCTCGAACGTCCTTACACAATATACAACTGTTAAAATGGTGTTTTCCACATGGGGGCAAGCTTTTAGGGTTTTCTCATTGCCACTGTGGATGCCATTGTGAGCACCAATGGGGCCTCCACATTGCAGGGTTCCTTACATTTTCTGTGCCCCAGTCCTCTGGCCATGGCTACCTCCCCATGCCACTGGTGTGGTTCCAGGTTTGCTTGTTTTTTTTTTAAAAAAACCCAACAATAGAATATCAGATTATTATAGCAAACTGTATATCAGGTTCTCTGCACTCCCAGTTTTCATTTTTTAAAAAGTAAGTCTCCAGTCCTTTTTCTTTATATCTCCACAACAAATAGGGCTAGAAACTTTAGTTTTTTTAAAATGAAATCTGGGAAGTCAGAAAACCTGATACACAGGCCGTTACAACGTTATAGTGATATAACAATAGTCAACTGCTAATAATAATAATAATTACTATTAATAAAATTATTATATTATTATATATAATAAAACTATAATTAATGTATTGCATTGTGTATTGTAAAGTCCGGAAATCCTAAGATTATCTGGTAGCCTGAAGTTCTAGCTCTCTTAGTGCTATGCACCACTAGGTGGTGAGCTAGACTTATTTTTGGGGGGCTGAAAGGGCTCTGAAAGTGCTGTGACTGACCCAAGGTCACCCAGCTGGCTTCATACAGAGGAGTGTGGAATTGAACTCGGTTCTCCAGGTTAGAGTCTGTCACCATGCTGGCTCTCTATTCCTCTGCTGATTTTTTAAAAAGCTTGTGTGGTGGGTTGTGGTTGGGGAGATATGGCTGCCATGTGGATAGGGCTGGGAAAATCCAAATTTTCCTACCCACATGGCAGTCATCCAGGCTTTGCTGTGATCTTCCCCAAACTTCTCAGGAAAGTAAGTTTAGGAAAGAATGGAGAAAAACTAGGGAAGCCCCAGGTGGTACACAAAGGCACCAGGAAACAGTGAGGACACAGGACCCCCCCTCCAGGGGGGTTTCCAATAGCATTGAAATCGGGGCACATAACCCATGTGGAAAAGGTCAATATTACATGATCTTTGGAGACTGGACCCAATGTGCACTTCAGGGAGGGAGTGGGAGGTGTTCTTTCTATCTGGCTAGTTCACATTTATCCCACACTTACTCCAAGAAGCTCAAGGTGGCAGGCATGGTTCTCTGCTCCTCCATTTTATCCCCACAGCAGCCCTGAGAAGGAAGGTTAAGCTGAGAGAGTGATTGGCCTCAAGTCACCAAGTTTCATGGCTGAGTGATTTGAACCCAGATCTAGCAGCTTCTAGTGTGACACTGTAACTGCACCACCATATTGGTTCCCAGCTCACCTGTACATTATGCTATTCCAGCTTATGCTGGGAGTCTGTTGAGTCCCCTTTGCAGCCTTTTGGAAGATTGCCTTCACAGAAAAGAAGCTGGACTTGCATTGAGGCTGGAAACACAGAGAATATATAAAGAAGGCTCATATATTTTCCAACAAAGGCACCGACCTGTCAAATCTTGCTGCTCTCTGCTTGCGACTTTGTTACTGTTGGCTACAAAGCACTTTGTTTAATTTCCGCGGCTAAAGGTGGAAACAGAAAGGGCGGAGAGGATGGCCAGGAGAAGAAAGTTAGCATGATAGGACAACACTTCACAGGCTGTTATGCTCCTCTGACAGTTCTGTTGTGAAGGCAGGCTCAAGGCATAGCTGCAGAATGTGCCACTGTGAGCCCTCTCTTTATTCTGTGTCCATCCTGAGAATCCTGAATTGTGTGATCTTAAGTAATGCTCAGCAGGACAGTTTATTCCTTGGACGTGGAAGGAGAGCTTTAGTGGGGAACTGAGGCATTGTGATTAATTGTGGTCTCTGCTTTCCTTTCTTCTCTCGTTAGGTACCAAATCCACACAGGTCTTCAGCACTCCATCATCCGTCCCCGGCAGCCAAACTGCTTGCCCTTGGACCATGTCACCCTTCCCCAGAAGCTTCAGGAAGCCGGCTATGCCACACACATGGTAGGCAAGTGGCATCTGGGGTTCTATAGAAAAGAATGTCTGCCTACTCGCAGGGGCTTTGATACCTTCCTGGGCTCCTTGACAGGGAATGTGGATTACTACACCTATGACAACTGTGATGGGCCGGGTGTATGTGGCTATGACCTTCATGATGGTGAAAATGTGGCCTGGGAACAGAGTGGGAAATATTCCACCTTCCTCTATGCTCAGCGAGTCAGCAAAATCCTGGCTACCCATAATCCCAAGGAGCCCATATTCATCTATGTAGCATTCCAAGCGGTGCATACGCCATTGCAGTCCCCTAAGGAATATATCTACCGTTATCGCTCTATGGGTAATGTTGCCCGACGCAAATATGCTGCTATGGTCACATGCATGGACGAAGCTGTGAAGAACATCACCTGGGCACTCAAGAAGTACGGTTACTATGACAATAGTGTGATTGTGTTTTCCACGGACAATGGTGGGCAGACCTTCTCTGGGGGAAGTAACTGGCCTCTGCGAGGCCGCAAGGGAACATACTGGGAAGGAGGAGTCCGTGGCATTGGGTTTGTCCACAGCCCTCTGATTAAACGTAGACGTCGAACCAGCAGGGCCCTAATCCACATAACAGACTGGTACCCAACATTAGTGAACCTGGCTGGGGGTAACCTCTCTCAGACAGAACGCTTGGATGGGTATAATGTGTGGCCAGCTATTAGTGAGGGCAAGGAGTGTCCTCGAACTGAAATCCTGCATAATATTGATCCCCTTTATAACCATGCCAAGTATGGCTCTTTAGAGAGAGGTTTTGGCATATGGAATACTGCAATACAGGCCTCTATACGGAGGGGGGATTGGAAACTTCTGACTGGAGACCCTGGTTACAGTGACTGGATCCCACCACAGACTTTGACCAACTTCCCAGGGAGTTGGTGGAACCTGGAGCGGCTAACAGATGGCATGCGGAAATCTGTTTGGCTTTTCAATATCACTGCCGATCCCTATGAGCGCTATGACCTATCAGACCAAAGACCAGACATAGTGAGGGCTCTCCTGACCCGGCTTGTTCATTACAACCAGACTGCCATTCCAGTGAGATATCCAGCTGAGAATCCTCGCGCCCACCCAGACTTTAATGGTGGTGCCTGGGGTCCCTGGGCTACTGAGGAAGAAGAAGAGTGGGAAGGAGGACACGGAAAGCTGAAAAATAAAAACAGGAAGAAGAAGTGTAAGATCTGCAAACTGCGCTCCTTTTTCCGGAAGCTGAACACCAGGCTGATGTCAAACCGTATTTGATGGGAGGGAGTGTCAGAGGTACAAGACGCAACCCCTAAGGGGTGCAGTACCAGCAATGAGAATAGGGGAATGAGGCACTGATGGAAACAGAGTCAATAGGACTACCCAATTCCTCCCCTACACCCATGTGGTAGGTGGAGTTAAACATAAGTGGGGAGGGTCTTTTCACAATTTTTTGGCCCATGATTATCAAGAGGCAAATCTGTGCAATGGTAAAGCATGAAAGTGAAAATGTCTTTACGCAGGCTATCTAGAGACCAGTGAAAATCTGGTCCTGGGACATAACCAAAGACCAACCCTACCTGAAGGTGTTCCAATATGTCTGCTTTAGAAGAGGGTCTGGGCTCTGTTCGCTCTTGCCTCATAACATTCTCATCAGAAATATTCTACATTACATAATGCTCTCGTTCTGGGAAAAGGATCTGTGGGTTCTTCCCTCCCCAAAGGTTGCAGCTATTTTCCCTCCTGATCACTTCAGAGCGAGTGGGTGGTGATACAGAAGACCTGGGGACTTATTTTTATCGGAGATAGAACACAAGCCTGAAACAGTGTGAACATTTCCTCCTAAATATACGTAATGGCAAACATCCTATAAATGTAGTCAGGGACATCAGTAAGAAATGTGAGCATTGCACATGTTTACATGTATAAACTAAAAGTATGTGTGTGGAAAATAATAATTGGGCAAATGTTTACATATTGGTCTATGTATTTGTGTGTATATACTACAAGACAACAGTGCCACCTCTATTTACTTTGCCAGCTGCATACTCGGAAGGAAGCCACTGCTCTCATGGAACTCTTTCTACCATGCAGGGTCTTCTGTGTGGTCTCTTGCCTTCCCATATCACAGTTCAAGGACACAGGAGAAGTGTCTTAAGTTGACCCTATAAATACTTTGTGTGTTTGAGAACTTAACATGAGAATGCTATGTATACATAACTGGGTTAGAAAGAGTTAAACACAAAACCCTTCTGCTGTATTGTGGGAGCATTCACTTGAAGCATTTCTTCATGCAAGTGCCTCATTAGCTCATGGTATCAATTGCCACCAAATGCAACACTTAGATTACATTTGTACAAGATTAAAGAAATTCAAGGCAGATGAGTCTCCTGATGGCCGTTAGCTGTAATATCTAAATGAAGCCCCCCCCCGGGGCCAGGTCAGGGACTATGCAAGTAAGGTGCCAGCTGCTACACCGTCAGGAACTTGGCCTGGAACTGGCTGATGATGGCATGGGACCAGGAGATGAGGGCAGTGCCCTCTTGTGCCACTGACAACCCGGAGCTAGCTGAACCCATTATGGTACATCAGGAAGCCTCATTATATTGACTGCCAACCTTGGAAGCCCCCATGTTCAGATGCAGAGTGCCACATGCTTCATAAGGAATAGCCACCACAGTCATGCCCCCTGTGATATCTAAATGTGCACCAGGGAGAGACAAAGTACTGGGTTAGGGCTGGTCTCTGGTCTGACTCATCAGGGCAAGTTTTTGAATTATTCTGAGACAACACCTCACTCTTGATTAAACCCAGTTGCCTACCTGGTAATGTATATTTATCCCGTCCATGCTAAATTCTCAAACACGCAAAGAGCTTTATGAGAGCCAGCTGTCTTGTGTCACTGGCAATGATAACATGGGAAGTGGCCCTCAGAGGCCTGGTGCTAAATTTCCACAAACAGAAGACAAGATTGCTGCCCCCTTCACAGGGGCAGATTAAGGCTCACTGGTGCCCTAAGCCCTGGCCAATCTTGGTGCCCCCCTCCTTTCCACACTGACCCAGTCCATTTTAGTTGTTGACCTGTCTGACCAGATATACAATGCAGGTTGCAGCAATACAAAAATTTATTCATATGATAACACAATATACTGTACAAACTTAAGTTTTTTGCCCTTTTCCCGACTTTGTGGTGCCCCCTTTGGCCCTGGTGCCCTAAGCACGTGCTTAGTCTCCTTGATGGTTAATTTGCCCCTTCCCCAGTTCTGTTTTTCATTGAGCTCTATGTGTGCAGTCTTGCTTGCCTGTAAAGAGCACAAAATCACTATAAGGGGGAAGGGTTCCATGTGGACAGCTTCTGGATGGTGCATTGCAAAATGCAGGTGTTTTCACTTGTTCCCAGCGAAGCTGCATCTTCCCAGGACTTTTTGTACCATGCCTGACTGCTCAGTTAACTCTGTTTGTTGCCCAGGTTCTCTCAGCCTTACTAGCAACAGGGAGGCATATGTTAGTTGGTTATCTGGAGGAAGTCATTGGAATGTTCCACTGAGGATGACTGGCCCCTCCGCTCAGCTTCCTTTAGTTTATGACCGTGATGTGGAGACTGTGTATCACTGTTCATGTACACACCGCAGATGGGAGCAGGCTGGGTGGAAAGAGGGCAAAAGTGGCGTGAAAAGCTGTTTTCAGTGTGAGTCGCATTTACGTTAGCACAATGCATTTTACATTTTATCTCCACAGGTTTCACTTGGTGCAGAGTGTGTAGGCGAAAGCCCTGCTGTGAATTTTGAAAAATAGTTATTTTTGTCCCTGGAAAATAAGCCCTGTTAGGACTTGTCAGCTCTTGGATGAGCTGTGTGAAGGTCTTTTTCTTTCCTCCCCCCCCCTTCCAAATAACATTCATTTAAAATCTGTCATTGACAGTTGGAAGCATTTATACTGTCTACCTTTTGGGGGTGCTTTTGAGATCTGTGTGTGTTTGAGCAAAGTGTGGATTTCAAGGCTGGCTTCTGAATTGAGCAGAATAATAGCTTTACAGTATTTTGGGGTTGGGGAAGGATGCAAGTCAGAGGGGAGTAGGACATTTTAAAAAGGGAGAAGCTAACAGGTATTTGTGTCCATGAAATAGCTAACAAGGTGAGAGACTACTTTTGTTCTTCTGAGGAACAGGAGGAATAAAAAAACTGTGCTCGCACCTCAGTGCTGTAGACTTAAAGAAGAGAGGTGATTTATTTATTTTTTGCTGTCACATTGCAGGCGAGTTATGGCAGCCCCTGTGGGGTTTTCAAAGCAAGAGCCGTTCAGAGGTGGGTTGCCATTGCCTGCCTCTGCATCGTGACTCTGGTGTTCCTTGGTGGTCTCCCATGCAAACACTGACTCTAGGCTCTACCCTACGTAGCTTCTGAGATGTGATGAGATTGGGCTAGCCTGAGCTACCCAGGCCAGGGCAAGAGGTGAGTACAGATGACCATTTCTGAAAGACGCCTCACCAGTGCCATAAGCTGATCAGATGCAAAGCCCTGGTAAATGATGAGGCATTTGCCCTACATTTGCTCCTGATCAGAAGTCCATGGAAACATGGAATGGAAAGTGGTAAAAATTCACTTGCTAGATACCCACCTGGGTAAGCACCTGCTTGGTCATCTGTGCTTGTTCAGGGACAGTTTCAGAGAGTAGAACAACTAGATCCAAGTCCAGTAGCACCTCGGAGACCAACAAGATCTTCAGCATATAAACTTCTGAGAGTCAAAACTCCCTTCATCAAGGAGCTTCATACTTCAAAACAAAATCTTGTTGGTCTCTAAGGGGCTGCTGGACTTGAATCTAGTCATTCAAGGACAGTTCACCTGAAAGGTTGGGGGGGGGAGAGAAGAGACAGAGATATTAGTGGTTTGCTGTTTTATTTTTGTTTTAACCAGGGTTGCCAACCTCCAGGTGGAGCCTGGTGATTTCCTGGAATTATGAGTGATCTCCAGATGACATAGATCAGTTCTCCTGGAGAAACAGTTTTCTTTGGGGGATAGGCTCTCTGGCATTATACTCTGCTGAGGTCCTTCCTCAGGCTCCACCACCAAAATCTCCAGGAATTTCCCACCCCGAGTTGGAAACTCTAGTTTTAACCAAAACATTTTAAACTATTATTGTAAGCTACCTTGAACCATGAGGAAAGGAGGGATATAAATGTTTTAATAAACAAATAAATAGCAGGGATCTGCTAAAGAGCAAAACCAAAGTAGCATCGAGGTTGGGGTCAGCTCTATACACTTGAGTGACAATACTCCCCTTCTGTTCCTTACAAGACCCTCATTATCTTGGGCCCTGTAGCTTCTCTTTAACTATCTGACCTTCTGTGGTTTGTCAAGAAGAAGAAGGGTTGGCTTTTATACCCTGCTCTTCACTACCCAAAGGAGTCTCAGAGTGGCTTGCAATCGCCTTCCCTTCATCTCTCCCACAACAGACACCATGTGAGGTAGGTGGGGCTGAGAGAGCTCTGAGAGAGAGCTGAGACTGGCCCAAGGTCACCCAGTTGGCTTCATGTGGAGGAGTGGGGAATCAAACCTCTAGATTACAGTCCATCTTCTCAGAAGAAGAAGAGATTGATTTATACCCCGCCCTTCACTACCCAATGGAGTCTCAGAGCGGCTTACAAACTCCTTTCCCTCCCCCCCCCCACAACAGACACCCTGTGAGGTGGGTGGGGCTGAGAGAGCTTTGACAGAAACTGCTCTTTTTCAAGGACAGCTCTTATCAGAACTACAGCTTGCCCAAGGTCATCCAGCAGGTGCAAGTGGAGGAGTGGGGAATCAAACCCTGTTCTCCCAGATTAGACTCCGCGCACTTAACCACTACACCAAACTGGCTCTCAAGAGCCAGAAGACCTGTTTTTGAAATACCATTCCCATTCCCATGCTGGAACGTTGGCTGGACCTTCTAGGTAAGCCGTCTCTTCAGTGTCTTTGAGCTTTGGCTCTCAGGTCCTGATGGGCTGCTGCCCTTAGATCCACTGACTTTTCACTTGTTTCTGTCCACATTTCTTAATAACCCTTGGCCACGCCTTCATTCTTCTTTGACTCCCTCCAAACAGGGGAGGGGGTACATCTGTCAAGGAAGAACTGGAGAAAGGAGTATCCTTTCCATCATCAGCAGAAGTGCTGCTTCCTATTAAGTGTTCCATGTAGCTGCCTGTTGGCATGTACTGGAAAAGCCAGACATGTGCAGAGTGCAAATTTTAGTACTTTTACCTTCACAGAGAAATACAGAATGACCACCTTTATCCTACTTCACGGCTTTGTAGAAAGTGAAGCTGATGTTGAAATGAATGATTAATCCTCCCCTGTGTGGATTTGAGTCCATTGTGCTATATACCTGCCATCACTAATCCGGATGGCTTGCAGCTGAAGGCTGCTTTGCCATGGGGGAAAATGTAAAAATGTTCCAATCTACTTGATTTTGAAAAAATGCTCTGAATGTTTCTTGCTGGGTTGGCAGTTCCTGGGCTCCATGCAGTGAGAAATCACAGGCCACACACCTTTCGAGTGCCTAGTCCCTCTGCCCAATCAGCATAATAGTCATCTGAAACCTGTCCTCTTCTCTCCTTTGCCAACCCCTCTCCTAAATCCAAATTCATTAACACTTCAGCTATAGAGAAAAAGATGTGAAACCAATTGATAGTTCTGTGGGTCAGCTCAATGTTGCTGTACTGGCGGAATTAATATATTTGTACTCGCAAGGCAGCTAATCCCCCCAAATGTTATTGACAGGACCAACTGACCCATTTTGCCATTGTCAGGAAGCTCATAAGAATGAAGAAAAGAGCAATCATGTGTAACCAGAATCTGCACTTAAAATGGGGCCTGTATCATGAAGACATTAGTTACTGAGGGTTCCTGTTAGCTTCATGTCCTGGTTCCCAGAGGCATCTGGCTGGCTGGAATTACTGATTAGACACAGACTGCTGGA